AGATGTTTGTCTTATAACACAAATTGAAGAAGCACAGCATTGGATGACAGCAGAGTTATGTCCCTGTCTTTCCTTTTCCGTGAAGAATACTGTTTTTCTTACACCTGTTCTCTACTACCCTCTTTATTATCCATTCATAATGTTTCTCATTTTCCTTGATAGTTCTCTTAATGCACTGGATGCATCGAACCTGTTGTATATGGATAATTATTGTAAGGAGAAGGAGAACTTTGCTCTTCATTCAGGCTTACTAGGAAAGCCAAAGTTAAGTTGATTACATTTGAGATATTGTTGATTTAACAAAACCAAGGAAGCCTTACGGAATAATATCCTCTGGGATGGTCATACCTCACATCACTTTAAAAAAAATTATTCCCCCTAGAACATAGGATGGACTTTTTTCCCTCAGGGTTACATGAAAATACAAGTGTCAAAAAGGAAGGGGGACCCTGGACACTAATTCATGTTCTCCTCTAACAGGTAGGTGATGGATTGTTTTTACTTTTTCTGAAAGACAAATGGTGTTATGGAATGATCCAGGACAGTTTTCTACTTTAAATATAAAGTATAACTGTACACATCTTCCATACTCTAAAGGAGGAATAGGCAAAAACCCAAGTTGGGTTTTACCAATATAACTGTTCATACAGCAAATCGGTGAGTATAGAAAGTTTTGCAAGAAAAAAAAAAACAATTTGTGTAATTTGAATAGTATTTTATGTCCACAGGCTTCTGAAAGTCATCACTGCTACCTGGGCACACAGGGAGATGTGAATTACTTATGAGTTACTGCCATTTATATGCAATGCAATATATTTGGATGTCTTTTGTTGTCAAGTGTTATGAGTAAATTGTAATTGAGTAGCAAGATAAGGCACAATAGATGATGCTGATATTAGGTAATTTGCAATTATGTTTGACCAGCATAGAAAATAGGTTACTGAAGTTCATGGCTTTGACAGAGTTTCTGTAAAATGAGAGCTTTTCATCTCCTGGTGATATACTGAATCAAATATTGTGTGCCTCACAATCAAATAACTTCTAATTTGATCAATTACATCCTAAGGATATATTTGCAGTTGACACATTTCTGAGACCTACTTTCCAAGGGTGAATCATTGTTGCTCAGCTATTATCATGGATATCATGTTTTTTGGTGTACACACTGTGTAACAAAGCTGAGATCTAACACAACAGGTGTAGCAAAACAGCCTCTGAGAATATGTTGGATAAAGAGTTTATCTCTTACTTCACATTGACTCTTGCCAAAACTTCCTGTATGGGTCATTTTACCTGCTTGGGCTTCATCCTGTAAACTATAGAAAGAGGAATAATTGAAGATTAATTTTACTACGCTTTGCATAGTAGATACACAATGCGTAAGTAAGGGGATTAGATTTTATGGTGATCTCTGGTCCACACAGAATGCAGTTTTCCAGGGCACCTTTTGAGAAAAGGCAAAAATCACAGATTGAGAGGGCACAGGAATATATATAATATCACATTAATATGAGCTGTAAAGGAATATAACAGCATGGAGCAGCATGTTAGCCTTCCAGCAGGGAATGGTTTACAAAGAAATGCAGAGATTCTGCAAACACAGCATCTGAACTAGGAAGGGACGCATGATTTCAGAGAGTCTTCAGGATCAGAGGTGCTTTTCACTGTAGTTGCCGCATTATGAAAAGGACACAGAGATGGGGCCAAGGGTTGCTGCTCCAGCTGCAGGCACTGTCCACACTCTGCTTTCACAGATTCTTGGTCATCCTCATCTCTCTTACCTCCATTTTCTGGTTATTATGGTTTTGAAAAATCATGTTATTTCAGAATTAGCTAAGGTGATCTGAAATGGGTTGACAATGCATCTAGTGCTGTGTCGACTTCAGACCCTGAAATTCTATCCTGGTTTGAGATTCCTTTGTGATTTCACTGGAAAGGAAAATAAACAGAAGGTGATGTGTAGGCATCCACCTAAAACCGTGAGTTACCATCAGGAGGATGTGCAAAGCATCTTATTGTACTGTGATAGGAGAAGGTTTCCACAGAAATATCATAAAGCAAATATAAAAGCAACCCAAAGTTTTTAAGGTGGTCAATGCATAAATATTAAACTTTCAGTGTCACAGATCACCATCTGGGACAAGAGCTGCAGCTTCAGGCTGTGCAACTATTCTGCTGTGTGTTTCAAATTGATCTCAGGTCTTGTTTTGCTTTCTGGCTCTGTTTTTGTCTCTATCATAATGCAAAGGTGGAAAGGCCCAGTGAATTAAAGATGTGAATGTGTATCGTAGTGGCAGCAGTACCACAAGACACATCTAACTGCATCTCAGAAGCACATGATACAGAATATTTAATTTAAAAGCACAGAATGGCATCTACAATGCCCAAGGTACTGATTAGAATCATATGACAAGAACAGCTATTTTCCTAGTCCACATAAATTGATGAAACAAATTTAAAGACATAGATGCTTGTGTGGTTAGCATTAGTATGTAGCATAAGCCACAGTGAAAGGCTTTGGGTAGCACGAGTGAGGATGCCTTCATCAGCTTGTCTCTACACTGCTCAGAAGTGGCTTCTTAATGTAGCCAGAGGGTTGCAGTGGCTGCCCTGGAAAGGCACTGCTGGAAGAAAGCACAAGACAAGGGGACTTGGGCTGTTCTGCATCGTGCACTTTTAGTCTTTAGATCCTACATTGTTTCTGTGTAATAATCCCACATATGTTTATTTAATTTTTATTTTTTTTCACTTTTTTATCGGTATCGGGGATCGAACTCACGACCACCTGCTTGCAAGGCAGTTGCTTATGCCGCTGAGCTAAATTCCCAGCCCCTCCACATATGTTTATTAATCTTCAAGGTACTTTCATTTTATCTTGAATCTACCTTGGTTATATCAGATTTCAACAAGTATTTCTTGATTTGAGATTTATGTTCTTTTTTTCTGGATATTGAAAACTGGTTTCAGACATATGTTGTCTTTTTTCTAGATATTGATCTGTGTATATCTAGATATTTCTAGCAAATGGTAGATTACAAAATATTCTTATAAGAAAAACAAGCACTTGAATATATTTAGAGGCAAAGAAACATGTTAAATATTAATAATGCATGATTAAAAGAGTACAAATTTTCTGGATCAGGAAAAGATTCAAATGATCTTTATGTCAACAGATGTTTTCAGGTACATAACATTCTGAAACTATTATGTGTTTGATAAGAGACCTACACTATAAAATGTGTACTCATATATGATAAATATTAGTAGCCTAACTTAAAATTTATGTGTAAACCAATATAATGCTGTCTTAGAAATGAACACACTAATGAGACTGATAACAAATTATCACTATCTACCTATTACCTCTGTATCTCAGTGTACAGTAATCTATTTACCTATCACCTATATATCTATCCATATAATGACATCAAATTTTTCTTAAACTACACAGTGACACAGGGGGTCAAATCTTGGGAGATTGGGAGACTTTCACATATCATTGATACCAATGAGTACTAATTTTTAAGTGCCAATCTTTTATCATGTACCTATCTTGTAATTAAATGAAGGAAGATGCCCTTATTTCAAGATTAAGATGTCAAGTTTCAATTTATTTCTATTTAATAATCTTTTATCCAAGGTCATATAGTACAAAGGAACATTTAGATCTACAAAATAAACAAATTCATTAGAATCTTCCCATGAGTAGTTTTGAATTGGAAAAGCATTCTCTAATATTCAACACAAAATTCACTTAATCAAATACAATAATGCATTGCTGTATGGAATATAATATTATGTGAATGCTGTATGATAATTGATTCTTTTAGATTATATTTAAGTCTATAACTTTTAAGTTTATATTTTAATTTCAGAGTGTTTCATCAACATCATTACTAGAAAGTTCTGAAATTGGTTTCTTCACTGAAATAAATTGAAAATATTTCTTTCTGAATTTGATTTAAAATTCTGTTTAAGTTACTGAAATTTCAAGACTGAATTATTTCTTACTTTGACAAAGAAGAAAAGAAATTTTACATCAGACACTAACTTCCATGCATCTTTGGAATGATATGCTCCTCTCACATTTATTTCCTGAATGTTTTACAGGATGTGGGATTTGGGGATTTCTGTTCATCATCTGGTCATACAACAAGAGTCTGGAGACCTAAAATGATTATGTTAAAAATGAGTCACTATAACATAAGCTTTTAGATGTATAGGTTCCCCTTAATTTTGAAATTCATCCTCATGTTTTTGAGTTCACTGAGGATACTTTTCATAAAATAGAGAAATAAAATTACAGATATCTGACAAATTCCAAACTATGAAAGAATGTTCATTTATCTTTGCTTCACTATTTTGTTTGTCACATCAAATATTTCACGTTCCTTTTTCCAGAATGACATATTTTAGGACAAAATTGGAGCCTACCACATACTTATGAGTAATACACATTTGTGTAATGTAATAAGCATATGATGTACTACCTGTGCAGACATTTGTGCAAAGCTGGGGGTGTTGTAGGATTTTGCATGGATAAAGATGGAACTCCAAGGACAATCTGGTAGATCCTAACTGCAAATTGATCCAGCATGATAAAAAGGTCACTGGTATGTTCTGACACATAAAACAAAGGGAATGATAGCATGTAATGTTATCTCATAATTTTAAGTTGATTAAAATTTATCAGAATCCCAACAAAACTGACACTTGTTTGTACCTCAAGAGTTTAACTGGAGAAAATCATGTTTAAATCTTTATCTCAGACTCATCATAGGCTATTGGGTCATCATAAAAATTGAGGAGTAAAGTTGGGAAATAATTTATTAAGACATCTTAGATAGAATGCTCTAACTTAGAATTATTTTTGCTTTAAAAATTACATAACTTTACAGAGCACCACAGTCCATTATATCAAATATTTTATGCCTTCTTATAACATTGTCTTTTGCAGATGTCTCTTTTCCCACTTGTACATTTCTTACATTCATGAAATCATGCAGCTGAACAATACCGTGACTGAGTTCATTCTCCTTGGGTTGACACAAGATCCTCTCTGGAAGAAAACAATTTTCATCCTTTTTTTGGTTTTCTACCTGGGGACTTTGTGTGGTAACTTGCTGATTATTACTACCATCAAGACCAGTCAGGCACTTGCGAGTCCGATGTACTTCTTCCTTTTCTATCTATCCTTATCTGACACCTGCTTCTCCACTTCCATAGCCCCTAGGATGATTGTGGACACCCTTGTGAAGCAAGCCACAATTACTTTCACTGAGTGCCTAATTCAGGTCTTCACATTCCATTTCTTTGGTTGCCTGGAAATCTTCATCCTGATCCTCATGGCTGTAGACCGCTACGTGGCCATCTGTAAGCCCCTGCACTACATGACCTTCATGAACAGCAGGGTCTGTGGAGTGTTGGTGGCTGTTGCGTGGGTGGGATCCTGCGTGCATTCTTTAGTTCAGATTCTTCTGGCCTTGAGTTTACCTTTCTGTGGTCCCAATGTGATCGATCACTATTTCTGTGACTTGGAGCCCCTGTTGGAACTTGCCTGTGCAGACACCTATGTGATAAACCTGCTCCTGGTGTCCAATAGCGGAGCCATTTGTACTGTGAGCTTTGTCCTGCTGATGGTCTCCTATGTAGTCATCCTGCATTCTCTCAGGAACCACAGTGCCGAAGGCAGGAGAAAAGCCCTCTCCACCTGCATCTCCCACATCACTGTGGTCATCCTGTTCTTTGTACCTTGTATATTTATCTACACACGTCCTGCTACCACCTTCCCCGTGGATAAGATGATAGCGGTGTTTTATACAATTGGGACACCTTTTCTCAACCCTCTGATTTACACACTGAGGAATGCAGAAGTGAAAAACGCCATGAGCAGGTTGTGGAGCAAGAAACTGACCTCAGATGACATGAGGTGAATGCAAGTTCCATATGTTTATAGTTTTGATTTAACCTGAAAAAAGTAACAGAGATTACATTCTAATTTGCTGGATTGAATGTACTAGTACTTGGAATTATGTGTGTTATTTCTTTTGGAAAAATAGACAATTTGAAAACCTACACGTGTTGATTTTATGCATAAAAGGAGCTAGTATGTGATACAACCAGACTTACATAATGCTCCCTGTTCTTAGTTTTCTTGTGAGCCTGCTGTCAGTGATGACTTTTGTGTGGTGCTTGCCTTGTGCGTGTCTTTGCCTCTGGGTGCCCTTCTATCAGTTAGTGTACAGAGACAGGCAGACCGCAGTTTTTCTTATACTTTCCTGAGAAAACTCAGCCACCCCTCTCTCATCATTTACCTCAACTTGGTTTTTCTTCCTGACCCGGAAGGATGCATCAGATTGAAATAATTCTGGATAGTTCATTTTAACATGGAACCATGTGTAAAATTTAGCCTGTATTTTGGTATATATAGTTTGGATTCTTATCAGATGTTCACTTAGGACCCTCTAGATCACTGTCAGTACAGGAACAGAGAATTCATCTTTCTGAAAGAAAACTTTGACCTTTGTAATGGTATTCTTATAGTGGAATTCTTTTCCTGAAATATTTTCAGCATCTTAATTTTATGCTATTTTGACATTGTGGCGAAACATTTTCTCTAGAATCAGATCAGGTTTGGTAATGTATTTATACTCAGACTTTGCGAAGATGACACAGGAAGATTTATAGTTTCTTAGAAAATGTTTATATGATTTATATACACATTGTGCATTTTTTCTGGATAAGGTAAGACTGTAGACAGTAAAAGAAAAGATCAAATATGCCACAGCTTAGAAGGAGGACAGAAAAGATGTTGATGCAGGGTTCCTGGTATCTGAGGGCAGCGGAAGCTGGCTATATGATGCTGGAATGGCAGGTAGAGGACATAATCCCTTTGTCACCACTCATATGCCTGTGCAACAAGAAGTGTAAACTCTTATATAATCTGTGAATTTTCATAAAAATCTGATAATGGTACTAAATGCACCACAACAATACAGTAATGGAAACTGATAATTGTTGTGAAATATGCTAAGGTATTCTCTAAACTTTTTGCATACTTTTGGGCTAAGCCTGAAAAGCTTGAAAAATCCGAGTCTATTTTAAAAACTTACACACACAGCAGATAACTGAATTTTAATTGTCATTTTAAAACCACGAAGTATTCATGTTTCTCATACAAATATAACTTTAAGTCACATAATAATACTTCAGTTTAATTTAGAGTGTTATTCAAGCACCAGTAATAAATACAAAATGCTATATTTTTGTGTGATCCATTTCCAAAAAATTAGAAGCATTAAAAAATCACAAGCATTAATTTAAATGTTGGTACATATGAAATTTGGCATTAAAATATACCTACATTTCTCAAGGTAGTGTTTTGATATTTTAAATTTGTGTATCTAAACTTGTTTGCATTTTGCATTATTAATCATTTTTCTCTTTTTGTAATCATACCATCTTCATGGACATTGCATTGCAGATAAAGAAGAAACAGTGTACAGTTTTGTAAGTAGTTGAACTGTTTGAAAATAAGATATGATTTAGTAATTTTAATGCCTATGTACCATTAATTCTAATGTCCATGCATGAATATATAGAATGAAAAATATCTAGGAGAAATAAATACCCACAAAAATTATTTCTTTACAATAGATAGAATAAGGCTGGTAATCAGCAAGGTTATAGAACTTGCCAACATCTAGCAATTCAAGCTTACTGAATACTCAATTTAACAACATCAGCATGTACATTATTTTCCCCTGCCTGTAAGGTGTATATAAAGAGAGTTCCCATGGTGTGGCATGCTGCCCATTGTGATTTTTAGCTAATTCTTGATCGTCTTGATGCCTCTTAAGAAGCTGAAATCATATACAAACTGATGCAATGATTCAGTAGAGACCAATAATAGGAAAACTACCAAATCCTTGGAAATAAAGACACCCCTAAACCCCCCTTAGATCAAAGAGAAGGTTAGATTTAAACTGAAGACACTGTCCTGACATTAAAGGGAAATGCAGCCTGTCAAAGCTTGCAGGAGAGCAGGACTGAAAGGCAATCGACAACATTCAATTCATATATCAGAAAAAAGAATATGAAATATGAAATTTTTGCATGGTATAACAATTAGGACTGGACAATTCTTTTAATAGTCAATCTCAGGATTATTCAGTGGATTATATACAGAGGTGATTTTTTTCATCACAATGATGAAAATATCCTTGAAGTGGATTGGCTCAGTTAGTGACATGGAAATCTGTATCCATTGTCCATGCTGTGAAAAGTGGAGTTCTTAGGAAGAAAAAGAAAAAAGTGAGTGGTGGAGAAAATATGTTTCAAGGGATATCTGAATCAGTAGGGCCGGGGATTTAGCTCAGAGGCTTAAGCACTTGACTGATAAGCCCAATGCCATGAGTTTTAACCTGGGCACCAAAAAACAAAACAGAAGTATTTCCACACTGAATGAAAATTTTCTTTATGATGGAAAATAAAAATAAGCCACGTATATGTACATATTTTAAAACCTGAAAGAAAAATATAGAGACATAATCTTAAAAGATGGAAGAGACTAAAGTTCATAATATGACAAACTGCATTCAGAGGAAAAGGATAACCATGATTGGCGGTTTCTACTAGAAATCGCGTAGCTTATTATAAAAGATAAAATCACACTTATGGTAAAAGAACTTTAGTACATGCATAACCCTATACTATGTGAATATAGACTATAATACTGTAACTTCGATAATGATGTCTTTAAATAATAGAATCATAGATTCATGATCATGCTACAAGGATCACAGAAATTCATATCTATGGGAACAAATGCAGAACACTAAAATACAAAATTATATATAATATTTCATTCCTCACTTTTTAAATTATAATTTATACCTGAAGCACATAAACAGTGATTGCTCCCTATGTATTTTAATGCACATATAGGTCAAACTATATGGAAATAGCACCACCAATCATAGCAAAGAATAATTATAATTTTAAGATGTCATATCTCAAGTAAAAGTATCATTCTGCAGTTCAGTGTGAAGTGCAATGCTTATACCTATGAAATATTTAATGTATGATGCATTTAATTTGTACTTACCTTTATTAATCAATTTCAATAAAGTTTTATTACATTCAAAAAATCTACTACAAAGAAAAATAAAGTGTTCTGGCTTATAGTCCTATATGCAACCTGCTAGGACTCACTATTCTACATAGACAACCATAAAAATAGGAATAATTTTGAAAATCAGTATTTCTTCATGTATTCATAAAGGAAGTGAAACCACAGGTCAAATGGCAACCTCAAAATTGGAGGGAGAGATACACAGCTTACCGAAATAGAAATCCATGAATTAAAGCTCCAGTACCAACTACTGGTGTAGAGAAGGCCTCCTGTGAAGTGGTCAATCAGAGGTAACTTGGGGTAGACCAGCCAGACACTGATTTAAAGGGCACTCAGTCACTGAGAGGCCCTAGCATTTTTGTGAGGTTTACACTGTGGAAACCTACAAGATCTCAAGAAAGCATGTGATGAAAACACCCCGCACTTTGACAGAGGGATGACAGAAAGGTCTGCTTTGAAACACAGCATTGTACTGGTGTAAACAACACACAGGGAATTAAAGGAGAACAGAAACCCTAAAAACAGTCATGTGCCTATAAACAAGAGGGTTTTTAAAAAATTTTTATTTAAAGAAAGACTAAACAAAACAAAATGGGTAGAAATAATACATACGTTCAGAGAAAAAATAAACAGTAAGAAATCACTAGTTGATGTTTATATACTGTCCTTTTACAAATAGTTGTTCAAGATACAAAAGTGGAACATATAAAGTGGGAATTCAAATGGACTGCAATCAGTTCTGTTCAACTATCCAACAAAAACTTAGAAATATGGTTATCAATCCTGTACACTTAAACATACATGCAGTTATCCATATCTTCAATTATGTTGAGACTGAACAAACCCAAGGAGGCTAATATCACTCTGAACAAAGAATACTATTGCTGGGTTTCCCATTATGACATTCCAGGATCAGCACTGGGTATTTTAGTGTCTCTTTTTCTTCAAAGTATCTGTTCATCTCATCATGTGTCATAAGATCAGTTCTCATGAACTGTTTATAGATTCTACACATGCATGGGTCTTAACATGTATTTCTATCCTTTCTATATTAGAGGGAGAAGACATATAAGACTGTTGTATAAAGAGTTCTACCGTAGTTCCTGTGTTGTCTCTTGTTATCTTCAATAGAATTGGCTATATCATCAGACATAGTATAACTGGATATATCAGTACATAATAGTATTAATAAAAACACAATTTTGTATATAGTATAAAACTTCAAAAACAGGCAGTTATCAAACCAGAATGTGTATCATAGTCTTGTCATCTTCAGTGTAGTTGCCTATACTCTCAGACTTGATACTATCAGCCATATCAGTTTTGAATAAAATCTATCAATACGAAACAGCAATCAAACAAACCAGATTTAACTAAGATCAATCATGATAAAACAGTATAAGTCATACAGGGCTCCAGATTAAGTTAATAGGAAATTAAAGATGATTACTGTGCTATATCCTGATGTTTTGGGATAGCTGTCTGTGACCTCAAATCTAATACAAATAGACAAACTGGGACAGAATACAATCTATTTAAGCAGAGTGGTGCAAATAATGTGGGTTTTAAATCCTGATACACTATTAACAATATCTTCTGCCATCTTTTTAAAGACTCTCCCTCCCCTTTCACTTCCCCAGGCTGCACTGTGCATTTTTGGGTCTGACCAAGACCCTTGGTTTTAAATTGGGGAGGGCAACCTGCTCTTTGCCTCAGTGGTTCTGAACCTTCTCTCAGACTTGATCTCTAATGGTATTCCTTTCCCTATTAAAGCCTGTATTTCCAACCTATCCACAAATA